GGCTGTCGCGCTATTTTGTGTTAATTTTATTATTAAAGTTTTGTTGGAGTGTTCGCCGGTTCCCGCCTCCTCCTTCCCGACCTACAAACTACGTTACAGCCTAGGACCGAGCCTTGTGGCACAACATACTTTTCTTTTTTGGGGGAGTCAAATATTTTAGCAAACTCGGGTAGGATCTAAACCAGACTAGTGCCTGTCCACGATTGGCAAAACATAAAATTAAGATACTATGTTTGCTGATGCCTTGTTATCCATGAGGTAAATTGCACGAAACAAATGTTTTCAGTTGGGTTGATATGAGCACATGCATTAAGCACTGTATTTTCACTCATAGCGTGTCCATTCCTATGTCCGAGAGATACTGGCCCAAGAATGCAGACCTTCTTTTGCCCGGCTGAGAATGGAAGCTGAACATTACAGCTCCACACCAGTGCTAGAGCCCTTTTTGGACAAGAACACTCATTTTAATGAACAAATATTCCAATATTCTCCACCGTTTGGTTTCCTGGATATGAAGAACAAGCTTCAGGAGATCCTGGACCACCTACCAGCCTCCTCTGAGGAGAGACGTGGAGGGAGGGACTGTCGTCGATGTCTAGTGATTGGAAATGGAGGGATACTGAAAGGATTAGGGCTCGGACCTCTTCTTAATCAGTTCGATACCATCATCAGGTGAGAGTCTGCCCTGCTTAATTTGTCTGATTTTAGCTAAAGGACGTGTGCGCGTGTGTTTATGGGACTCTTATTTGTGTGCAGATTGAACAGCGGTCCTGTGCGAGGTTTCAGTGCAGACGTTGGGAACCGCACCTCCATCAGGATGAGTTATCCTGAGGGCTCCCCGAAGGTCTGGGAAGACACAGATTCGGATATCCGATTTGTGGCTGTGATCTATAAGTCTGTCGACTTCCACTGGCTTCGTGCAATGATTACCAAGACGTCCGTTGTGAGTGCTTGTTCACGCATCAGGCAGATTGGTTGTCTTGATCAGAGCAGTATGTCTGAATGTCACGTTTAACTCTCTCCTTTCAGTCGCTGTGGGACTGGCTGTTTTTCTGGCAGAATGTGCCAGTGAGTGTCCCGCTTAAGGCCTCTCAGTTTCGTCTGCTGAATCCAGAGATTATTAGAGAGACGGCCTTGGATCTGCTTCACTATCCCAATGTTAGAGAACGGCTGTGGGGCTGGGACCAGGTGAGCTGCTTGCCATTGCTTTTATAGGGAGATTTTTTTTTCTTTATTAGGGCTGTTGATTTAACTTGGTGCGACTATGTAAAAAAAT